GGACGATCTGACGATTCTCTTGGAAGATCAGCACCCGGCTTGCAGGCAGAAAGCAGCTGCCAAATGTCAACAGCAAAACTCCCAAGAACCGCACCAGAGTAGAAAGTGCTGCACCACCAATTATCTCGAAAGGTCCCAAGGCCTGAAAAATCCACTGGCGACAGGTCGGACCAGGACAGGTCCAAAGCTGAAAATCTGCAAGTTTAGACGGTTTCAGAGGTGTGGTTTGGCATCGGTCGCCCGCAAAAAATGAACGAACAATCGCATGAACAATTTATCTTTCCAAGGCAATATAGCGATATGGCCAAGTCTATCCTTGTATTGGGGTTTAAGGTCAGGCATTGGAGGTAAGCTTCAGCGCTACAAGTACATGGTACTTTCCATTTTTGCGTGCAGGAGTACTGTTTCAGGGTGGCGTGATCTCGTATTGGAGGGATTCACAAGCGCAGCAGCCGCGCAGAAATCTTAATTTTGGGTAACTGTTGGGTTCGGATGGCACGACTGCCATCGTCTACGCGTGCGGCTTCGTACTACTTTCGATCTGGCAGGAAAGGCATTATGTGGTCCACTCTACGCAAGCTCAAATCACTAAAAAGCGGACTTTCATGTTTCCATGGCATTTTCCCTGCGAAATGCACCAAGCCCCAAGTGAACTTCTCACTTTCTCGAAGCTTCAGTGGCGTCAAGTACTATTTCTCTGTGCCCAGCCTGCTTCAATTGCTTCCTCAGGAGGAAGTTGGTTTCCGCCCTGAGCTTCATGATTCTATGGAGATTCCTCGGCTGACTGCTCGGCATTCTGCATGCTGAATGCTATACAATGCGCTCGACCCAATCTGTCGAGATTCGTTCCCTGGCGAAAAGTAACGAAGCGCTACATGTGGGCCAAAATGGCTATGCCAAAAGGCTGGGGTCAGCAAAAGCAAAGAGGCTGTGCAAAGTGGTGTCGAACAGCGCAGTTGAGAACAACTTTGCTCTTTGCGTCTCTTTTGCGCTCATGGGAGCAAAAGGGGTCATCGAAATTGCATCCTGGTCTATCAATTGGCAAAAACTTTGCGGGCTTTGCATCCTCATGGCAGCTTGTACTGTGTATAGATGGTGGTTCAAAGTGCTCATTGAGCTCGTCCTTGCAAAGCATTCAGCCGCCCTGCGTTCAGGCCGGCAACTAGAAATCAAAGACGTTCAAGGCCAATCTGGATTCCTAGGGCAACAATTTCGCACACCGCGCTCATCCAATGGGTATGCTCACCACCCAGAAACATGGAGAGCCGCGGCACTGTGAGGAGTTCTCAACAACGCGATCAACAATATTCAAGCTCACGGTGTTAAGAACATCCAGGGATACTCCTCTGATTGGCTGTGTCAGGCTTGCAATCGCAATTCATTCTAGTACCTGAAGGAAAATGCACCGGTTACCGGTGTATGCTATGGAAAGTTGCGGCAGGCCTGCAATTGCAGAGATCATTCTTGTCTACAGTAAACTACACACACGTTCCAAACAGAACGACGCGTCAATGCTGAAGGCCTTCCACGCAGAACTAGCATTGCACAGCATGACATCTGACTTGGCACAACAACAAAGACGCCATCGTGCGGAACCTCATGAATTGTGAAACAAAACATGTATATATTTTAACAGCCCATGCGATTCCTGCTGCGCAAACACGAAGGCATTAGTCACAAGCCCTCCTTTTTGCATACTGGCCACTGCCTATCTTCTTTGACTCGCAACTTCACCAGACTGAAACAAGAATAATGCTCTTCCAAAACGTTCTGGCCCGTTTGGCAACAACGTCGCAAAGTTACCACACATTTGTGTTGATCGAAGCTATTTCAGGTTCTGACATGTGGCCACTTGCAACTGGCAAAAAAAGCCGAAGCTTGTTGCAGTCGCTTGGCGGGGGGTGAGACATCGGCTTGATCAAATTAGACCTCTAAGGTCAGCAGTGCGGAAGCCGCTTGGTTGGACCAGATTGTAGATTGCAATGAGCATGATGTTCATTGCATGTTAAGCTGTATCTTCTAAGTTCCCACCTCTGCACTGCGACCCAAGCTTAAACACGGTCTGCAGCCTTTCCCAAGTTGAGCTCAGCGAATTGAACGCGGCTCAACAACCTTGATCTGTTTTTTTCTCCTCCCTACAGGGAGTCTTGCGACCTCAAAGCCTGAAGCCAAGCTCATCGTATTGATGAATCATCTCGGCTCATGCATGCTTTCCAAAATGATCCTCAAGCGATGGTTGAGGTGCTGAGGGCGGCTTCAGTGATGCTGTTGTCACTTGCCGCTGGGCCGCATCCTGACACGAGTGTGCGTCCCATGGGCCCTCCCTGGCAGTCGTTTCTACATTGCATCAAGGTCGCTCTGTAGACTTTCTCGATCTTTTTGGTCTGGGCGCTGACCTTCTGTCTGACAATTGAAATTGTTCTCCGCTCTGCTATTGGCCCTTTCATAAACACAAGGCGACCTGAGACATATGTTCAATGTATGTTCAGTGTGCTGGGGCAGGCACAAAGCGTCTGAGGTCGACAATGTCCTTGACCTTGCCCACACAACTGGTTCAGTTGCGCCCCTGAACCTACAATGGAGCGGACTGTACACATCAATCTACTATCATCCAAGTATACTGAGGCATTTCAGGAGCTGGCAGTCGCGGCATTGTCCCCTCTCAAGTCCAGAACAATATCCATAAATTCAGGGAATGTCAAATCCTGGTGCAGCTGCAAGGAACTACAGTATATGTTGGATAAGGAAAGTCACTGATGTGGCGAAGAGACGCAGAAATCAAAGTAAGATTAAACAATGTCAAATAGGTCAAATGCGTGCCGTCAATCGAAATCACACCCTTCGAAAACATTACACTCCTGCATACTCCTGCTTTTCTGCAGTAGTGGGTAACAAGTGAATAGAACTCATGGTTTTACCTGCACAGCGCTTTATTTCCTACAAGGCAATGACCTTCCCGGGTCTCCTCATTCTGTTCGAAAATAAAGTCCATCAAGTCGACCAAAGCGAGCAACTTAGATCACTGACTCTTGCTTTGCACATCAAATCTTCTTCCAAAGGACGACCGACTTGTTGTGTCCGTGGTTGTTGTGTTCGCAATCAGCTTGTGTGTTTTTTGAATATTGGTTGTGCCTGCACATTGAGTAAAACATGAGTCATGAACACAAACATCTGTAAGTCAGGCCACGTCAACACCAACATCTGCAAGCGTGCGCACAGCTTTGGGGTTCTTGAGCAGCATTTCCAGCTCTTCCCGATCTTAGTGCATGGGAGCAGTTGCAAATCTACTTCGGAGTTCAAAGTTCTATTCTAGAAAGCACAAACTCAAAACGACGAATGCGTTCCTCACAGTTGATCCCAAGTTGCTCAATTTCTTGTCACCATCTGAATCCTTGGTGCGGTTTGAAAGAAGCATAAGAAAGCCACTGGGAGTGTCTCTAGCCGCTAGCCAAAGGTACAAGCAACTGAACGCATTGGCTGCCTAGAGTCTGCTTCAGTCTCCTCCAGAATTCGTTGCAAAGAGAACTTCACAGCTGTTAGCCTCAGGGACGTGGTGTGGCATCAACAAAGCGTTGGCATTTACGAAGCTCACTCCAACCTAATAGCGATGGCCTCCAACCTAACAGCGATGGAGGAACCTACTAGCGATGGCCTCCAACCGCAACCTAATAGCGATGGCCTCCAACCTACTAGCGATGGCCTCCAACCGAATAGCAATGGCCTCCAACCTAATAGCGATGGCCTCCAACCTGATAGCGATGGCCTCCAACGTCAACAACGGTGGCATTGACGAAGCTCACTACATCTTCATCGCTACCACTATTATTTGTCCAAGAATCTTAATCTCCTCGCTCTCCACCTCAGGAATGATTTATAAATGAATTTCATCTTGATGATGGTGCAGCCTCTACCACGTCTGTCTCACTTCTGCTTCATTCGGCTTTCACTTGGCAGTGCATCCACTAAGCGGAATACGTGAGAGACGACACTAATCACCTCGCACAAGATTCCGATCAGCATGTTCATCACCTGAATTGCAACAATTCCTACCGCAGCCTCTTCACCAAAGAAATTACATATTTGATGCACTCAGCAATGAGACAAGCAGCGGTCAGAGAGGCCAGTAGCAGGAACGTCCTCAGACCATGGGACAAGGACAAGCATCAGCAAACAAATATACGCAGCTGGCTGGCTCTGTCATTTCAAGAAGCAATGCCATCTCTATTCAATTCTTGTCTTTTCAATCTTAGGTTCAACTTGGTTGCTCCAAGTGGCAGAATAAGTATATAAAAAAACTGGGCCCTCGTCCATGAGATTGTTGACCAAGTCTGCCCAGGGTTGTGCCAGTGGTCAGCTGCTCTCTCTGTCTCTCTGTCTCTGTCTGGTAGTCGTATAGTAGTAGTAGTAGTAGTAGTAGCAGCAGTAGCAGCAGCAGCAGCAGCAGTAATAGTAGTAGTTGTTGTTGTTGTCGTAGCCGTATAGTAGTAGTAGTAGTAGTAGTAGTAGTAGTATGTAGTAGTAGCAGCAGCAGTAGCAGCAGCAGCAGTAGTAGTAGTCGTCGTCGTCGTAGTCGCAGTAGTAGTCGTAGTCGTCGTCGTCGTAGTAGTAGCAGTAGCAGTAGCAGTGGTAGTGGTAGTGGTAGTGGTACTGGCAGTGGTAGTGGTACTGGTAGTGGCAGTCGTAGTAGTAGTAGTAGTAGCAGCAGCAGCAGTAGGAGGAGTAGTAGTGGTGGTGGTGGCGGTCCTTTCAAGATTCTAAGTTCAACCCGCATGAGCGCATCCAGACTTTTGAACTTTATACATACATATATAGGCGCCTGCTTGGTCAGGTGTCGCCCCCGACAGGAGCAGAGTATTCATTGAAGCCTTGAAGGGCCAAGCAAAGAAAATGAAAATCTAATCTGACACACAGGTCCAAGGCAAAAGGCTCAAAGCATCCAAGTAACACCAACAGTGGCAAAGTCGTTCCTTGCGGTTAAGCTGGCATTCGCGCTTTTGGTATCAAGCGTTTGCGTGAAAACCTGGGCACGAGGCAAAAGTCAATGCAAAATGCTGTGCAAAATCGGTTCCAACTGGGCAACCAGCCCACGTTGCGCAATAAGATGCGTCATCTATATAATAAGGGAAAGTGGCAATGGCAAAAACGTAGACCAGGCCCAACAGAAGGAGCAGGGCAAACATCACTGACCGAAGTGCAGCTCCAATGGCTTTGAGCATCACCTGGGACGAGCCCGAATGAACTTCAAGAAATTCACAAGTGAAACTTGATAGTGTGGTAGAGGCAAATCATGCAATGTAGCCAACCTTTCTCCACTTGTACAATGGTAGTCAACTGTCCACCATTGGCATCCAAAAAGTCCCCCTTCCTGCCAAGGATCAAAAAGCTCGGGGCAAGCCCGAAGAAGCCTTGCCATCCGTGCCATTCGCGTCAAACGGAAGAGGCGCAGCACTCTCAGAAAGCCCGGAGCGCTTGTCGCCCCAGAGCCCATCGATGCCTACAAAACCACAGATGTCCCACTGCGGAGGGGTGCAACGGCAATTTGTGTTTCTATCTGCCTCTTCTGAACTGTGTTTCCTTCAAGGCCAGTATGTAGGAATAGGGGAGCTAGCCCAGACCGAACAAGATTTTTCAAGGAATTGTCCCCCATTGTTTTGTCCAAGGCCTTTTCCGCTTTAGGGAAAATTTAGGGTTTCGATTCTTCACGAAGTTTAGGATGCGAGATGATGTGGGAAATTTATATTAAGGCATTGTGCTTGGACTACCCTTATAGGAAAGTTGGCAGGGAACCAGTTAAAAATGCAAACTGCCAATTGATGTTGAGTGTTGAGAGCAGTTCTGGCAGAAAATCAATACTTAAAACAGTGTTTCCTTTGAGACGACCAACACAACTCAAAGTAAATAGTCCAAGTGAATTTAATGTGAATTTAACAAGGAATCAAACCTGTCAAAAAGCGCAGCTTCAAGGGTTTAACAGGGAGCCCCTTAGAAAACAATTGAAAACAATACGTGACGTGCCTTGATGAAGCTTAATCCCAATACGAAACCAACCATCTCAGCAGATCCCCGGGATAGAGGAGCCATCAACCGCACATTCAAAGTGACAAACCACAAATATGTATCTTATACTAGGTTATTCTACGAATGTAGTTCGAAAGGAATCTTGTAGGAAAGCAATTCAAAACGCAATAGTTTATTCAATTGATGTTCGACAATGATTTTACGGGAAATATCAATTCAAAACAAATACAAGGATTCACATTCATCAGCATTATTCCATTGGCACCACGAAGTGTGCAGCTCTTAGATGATGCGAATTGGAAAATCAGTCTAGTCTATAAGTCTATAACTGTTGAATCCTGTTGAACAGGTGTTTGCCTAGGATTGTCGAGAGTTCTGTAGAATATTGAATCAGGTTCAATCCATGCTTCCGTGCGACTCAAATCACGAGATTTGAGGAGGAGGATGGGAGGATGATTGCACAAATCGACTGATCTATCGATTTTCTTTGCGATGTAGAAATCTATATGCTACCCTCATCAAGAGGTCCATTGCTTCTTTTAACCTCTTTTATATAACCAATCTAATTACTCTCCTTCTCCCCTCTTCTCTCTAATTCCCTGAAGCTCAAGCCCCAACGGCTGCTGCCAAGCCACGACTGCTACGGTTAAGATCCAAGTCTCAAACACCTGGAATCGAACGGAATCTTGCAACGTTTGTGCAGATTTGTATGTTGTTCATCTGCGTGACCAAATCAGCTCAGGCACCATCAAACCCACTAGGACAGAGTCGAAGACAAACCAGGCGTCTTTGGCGCAGTTCTTCTTTTGCTTGAAGGCTCCAAATCTAAACCCCAACTCCACACAAAAGTAGACGCAGAACAGGTTCTCCATGATAACAAAAACAGGCTCTGCATCAAGGAGGGTTTCTGAGGAATTCAAATCCTTGGCAAAGCCAGTGGAGCAAAAGTTATATAGTATAAAATAAGCATGCATGCCAGATTTCAATTGTTCTCATTTGGGCAAAGGCTCTGTGTCGATCCAAATCCAAATAGAATTGACAGCTATCATCAGAAGGGTCAAGTTTTCGAAGCAGCTAGATCGTGCAATCCTGCCGCAGGATCCGTAAAACAATCTGCACGTGTGATGCACGGAATTGCCATGTGTTGAGTATTCGTCACAGGGATCAAGTCACATTGTCCTCTGGCAGCAGCCTGTCTCCCAGTAGTACATGGACACATCGTAGACCTCTTTGCCTTAGACAACGTCTATGGTCCCTTTTTTGAAATCAATGCGCCCTCTTTGGTGAATCACCCAGAATTACTGGTCTTCAGTGGTGCCTTTACACCAAATCTGGCCCTCCATCTTGTTCGAGCGAGGAGCTGAGATTCTGCTTCAGCTGCTTTTTGAGCGTATCAGCATCAACAAAGACTGCCGCCTTGGCAAAATGTGCGAAGCAAGGAAACTGTCCAAGCTCCGCAACATCCGCAAGTTTGCTTTCATTGGTTTTTGTTTGCCATGTGCTTTCTTTTTGTGGTGGTTGAACGGACAAAACAAGTGCCTCTCGAGCTGGAGGATTCTGCGCGGCAGTTGTAGTAAAGGAGGGTTCAGCATTCTTGGACCCCCTTGATGATCTAGATGGAGAGGGCGATGGGATCGGGACCTCGGTTCGAGAGCTTCTCTCGAATGGCAGGCCAATATCAGACTATCTGGCGTGAAGCCCAATTGGAAGACTGAGTTCAGCACGATGGCGGCGGGCACAATGGCTGCCATTCCAAGCGAATTGCTCCCCTGAAGTTCAACCGGAAGTCGCAAGGAGCAGGAAAGCCACACGAAAGAAGTTGTTGTGGAAAACCGCCACAATCACGTGGCGCAACTTCTTCCAAGATTCTGTGCCATTCTGTGCCTGTGCTCCATCCATCTCTGCCCAAGCCTTGTCATGTTGCACAATGCACTATGTACAGCTCAAAGACCGGCTGCACTGATGACAGTGCCTGGGCAGGTTCACTAGCGGAGCCTGCAGCCAGGCGAGTGCAGGAGTGCATGAGCCATCATGAGCTAATCGCAAGTTTTGACAACTCCTTCGCAGTCGAAATCTCCGCATCAGCCTGCTGCTCTGTCTGGCCCATCTCTATCTACATCAATAATTCCTGGTAGGTGTTTGCCTGGCGCGAAGCAACATGCAAGTAGCTAACCCAGGAATGATGAACAATGTTCAGTTGCAAACACACAGGGTCCGTTGTTTAGGTGTTGTTTCATCATCTCACTTCATGTTATGGTCCTTCCATATCTGCCAGGCGGGATTTCAGCTGATTGTTCTCTCGTTGAAGGTTGCGAGTTTCCTTAGCAAAAATGAGCAAAAATGCATGCTTTACTCAAAGTGTATGTTTCGACAAATGGATACCGTTCCTTACACAAACCAATGTTTAGAGAATGTAATCCCGAGTACCAATTAAAAAACGGACCCCTATTAGAAAAAGTCATGTCAGAAACCCCTAAATACGGTTTATATTTGTTTTTTAAATTACCGCCCTTTCAAGCCGCTACTAAACTACCAACATTGCCGACTTTGGAGGAGTTTTGTTTATTAGGTTCCAAAAACAACCGTAACTGCCAACCTCTGTCCGCCCTGTCTATCCACCATGACACGCCGCGCTTACACCAGCAGGCTTTCCTTCCCCCAATGGCACGGACTCACGCAAACGCACTTGCCACCGAGGTCATGCAACACCGCATGGCACAGCGACATCACCTTTCGAAAGCTTTAGCTGTTAGTCTACTGAAGAATCACTATTCTAATGAAGGTTTTTGTAGGGGAAAAGGAAGACCCTTCGATCTGGAGCTTTTTTGCATTTTTGATATGAGTTTAATAACGGATTTTATATAAAATTTTACGGATTTACTTTTTGGTTTTGAAGCTCTTCCCAGGTGACCCTATTTTGGACCCCCCCCGATTTCAGGGACCCCCTATTAGAAAAAATGCGACCGAGGTTTCCTTATTTGGGGGGAGGGGGGGGGGGCCCCCGTGTTTTTTAATAGGTGGACCGGATTACTTGCATGCAAAACAGGAAAGAAACTGCAAAAAAAACGGCGATACCAAATTAGTGCAGCAGGAAAACACACGTTTCACTGCATCGGTTAAATGTTTTTTTGTTTGTATCACACTCGTGGGCAATTGCCCATTCTACCCAAACTCCGAAATTGACACCATCCGTGCGAAGCCCTGCTCCACTGCTCCACGGTTAAATTGCGACGATCCGTCAACTGTGTTCACTTCTTGAGCTCTCTCAAGAAGCAGCTTTGCCCTTCCTTTCCCCCCACCCCAGAATCCAAAACAAGCACTCGTGGCCACACAAGAATGAACGTACAGGTTTCCCCGTGTTTGCTTCTCCCATGCACTGGTTGCAAATCAGATCAATCCCAAAGCCGCTCCCTCCAAGCATCTTTCTCAAAGTCCTTTAGGCCTTCAGCTTGCTTGGACAAGAGGGTCCTTAAAAAGCGCTGGCTCAGGCTGAGAGGAGATTGTCCATGCTCAATTGACTACAAAAACGCTCCAACACGCTTGAAAACAAGGGTCGTCATCGTTTCACAGGTGGCGCCGACAACTTTTTGCAAGCTGTCAACCTGCGAAGAGCCAAAAATGCAAAAAGCATAAGGCAGCTCTCTACAAATGTCCCAGCCTGATGCAAAAGTTGCGATATGCCACCTAAAGCTTTCTTGTGGTCGGCCAACTGCAGAGCTCCCTGCATGTAATGATGGTGGAACAAAAGTGAAAACCTTAGCAATTGTCTTTCATGGTCTTTCTATCATGCGTTTAGAACAGTGAGCCAACATAGCCCTCTTGCCTTATCCATTCGGATCTCCTCCTGTCAAGAGGTCAAGCAACAGTGTTATGGCCACCTCCGGGCCCAACGACACCATTGTTCTCTCCCCATGCCGCCACGACACGATCAGACTTTCAATGTCCGAGGAAGGGCCGCCACTTATGGCTGACATCAGCACGAATCCAACGGCAACCTGAAGACAACAATCTGAAACCTGGATTCCACAACAAAGAACTTGTTGTTTGGCAACGTTCCGACTTGATGCGTGACTTGTGGAAGAAGGGATTGTAGACTCTTGGTTCGTGAATGTGGCTCTCGCAATGCCAGCTAAGGTCGCAGCTTTCGCCGCACCCAGACCAATGCTTTCACTTGGGCAAGTTTATGGCTTCGAACAAAAAATGACAAACTGTGATGTCTGGATGCCTCACAGACTTGGCTCTCAATGTCAAATACACCAAAAGTAGGGGACTGAAAGACTGCTACCAGTTCTGCTGTTAGTCTAACTTGGCCTGAGGCACTTCCGATCGCTTCCGGGTGCATTTCCAGCCTAGCTTGCCAGGTCATTTGGCTGCCACTTTTCGACTGCCTATGTACAAAGTGTGCAACTTGCAAAGGCCTTCTTCGCACACTATCGCAACAAATGGTGAAAAATTCAATAGAAACAGGTCTCTTTCGAGATGTGTCTCTGTGCATTTGCATACGCTTCAGATTTTCCACAAGCCCAGAGGTAGTTTCCCAACATCGTGGGTGAAATTGGATATCCTTTCAGCTTGGCTAACCTCAGACTTGTCGCTCGAGAGGGGATCACAGGTGCAGAAATCACATGGGGGGTGGATTGAAATAGGGAACCCCACGGTGGGAGCCTGGTTAATCGTGGGCTGATGTCCACCTTGCTTTCTTTGTGTTCTCCACTCCGCCATTATCAGAATCTCAACCGGTTGTCTGGATGTGTAATCACTACCTTTCACTCGTCTAAAGAGCAGTCTAACGCCACCTCTTTATGCGAAAGTGCCTGATGTTTCTCCCACAGGTTTCATGCATGTTTGTCATCCACATCTGCCTTTTTACATCTCAATCTTCGATAGAGAAAGACAGCAAAAGTGAAATGACCTGACAAATGTCCTGTATGTTGGAAGTCCCACCTGCACCCCACAAAAGTTGCATACCCTTGCTCCCTGAGGCCATGAAGCCAGGCCATATCTTCAAGTGCTGCGACACCAGCCGCACGCAAAGAAACTTCTGCAGCACCGCCAGTTGACAAATCAGTGTCAGCCTGCAAAGCTTTGGTCAAATCCTCAGCAGCTACGTGCCCACTAAGAGATCAACAAGTGACACCGTCTTACAAAGTGCAAGTTGTAACTTTTGGCAGAATACAAAGCTGTAGTGCAGCCTCTCAATAGTTTCTCCCTGACTGCTTTTGAGTATTCTTGCTGTCGAGTTTGATATGTACAGTGTATTATATGTAATAAACAGTATATATAATTTATATAACGTCTCACGCCCTTCTTTCTCCATGGTCGAGGGAGTATGCACAGG